AAAGCACCTAAGACCTCCGTCTTGTCGCTTATTCTGCTCCTTAAACTGAATAGACAATTTTTCAGCTAACAGGGTTCTTTGAAATTTTCTTGGCTCATACTATCAGGTGTAGGGGACCAGATGTTAGGTCCCCGGGTTCCCAGGTTCTTGGTTCCCAGCGAATAGTTACCGGTACTAGGATTTTGGAGCAAATTGAGCAGGTGCAAACAAGCCAAGTGCCAACGTTTTAGTAAAAGCATATAGTACATTCCAGAGAAGGAATGGGTCAACCCCCACAGTGGAAGAGACCCTGAGTTTAACAAGATTTCTCCTTTTATGCTGATTCCTTAATTTTATATTAAGTGGAGGGTGGAAGATTCATGATTTTTCTTGGAAAGGAGTGGAGAATTCCTGGAATTAAGGACTCTCACCTTTTCTATCCATGTAAGGCAATTTCCAGGGGTTGCCAGGGTATTTGTAAATGGTCATGGTGCTGATGGGTGTGATTGTTACTATGCGTATGAAGGTAGGTCATTTAGGACACTGTCACCTCAACTGTGCAGTGTGCTCTGGAGACACCCCCCAAGAGCTTGACAATACCACTACTTTAGGGTTTTTCTGCCTCTTTCTGATTGGCCAGTCCTCTCTATTGTAGCCCAAACATCCTTGGGGACATCCTTGACATGTCATCTGCTCTTTCTTGGGAGCCCTCTTCTGATCAATTTGGTCCTCCTAGTAGACAAAGCATCTTCTAGCACCATCTGCCTCTGTCTAGGGACACCCCAAGACAAAGCACGTATTCCCCTTCTCCTTATCCCTACGTAACAACACCATCAAGTTATGTGGGGAAATTGAGGCCCAGAGAGCCAAAACGAACTGCCTAAGATCACTCATTGGCAGGACTGAAGCCATGTCTTTGGACTCTGTGTGTAGAGCTCTTTTGATTACACCATATAGCCTGATACAATGGTTTATGGAAAAAAATTATTACTTATAATTAAAGCATGCTTTTTGTGTTAAAGTCCAGAGCACAGATATAATAATTACCATAAATAACCGACTCATTCTCATGTAGCAGGAAGTACACTAGACATGCACAAATTATGTAATTAAATACTTTTTCCTTTTTGTCTCCATTTTATAGATCAGGAAGCTGAGGCTTGAAGAGTTTAGAATAGTGATTTCACGTGACATAGCTAGGAAGTAACAGAGCCACAGTTCAAATCCACTTTTCTCTTTAATACCTGAGCTCGTTTCACTTTCCTCTTCTCTTCTATAGGGTGCTCTTAAGACAGAAATTGCAGCTGAAACTGATATAAGTTATAATAAGGATTTAATAGGACAGAGGATTGAGAAGGGGGAAGTTCAACTTCAGCTGTCGTTCAATCAACCCTGTGATCCCCTGGCTCTTCTCCTCTGGCTGCCTGGCCAAGGTCTCAGACTGGCTCACATGGGTCCCATATGTCCTCATTCTGCTCCAGAAAGGGTAAGGGAGAAACCCAGTCATCTGTTGAACAAAGGCGCTAATCCCTGGGGCTCTGATAAGACCAACCCTGATTGGTCCATAGACTGAGGATGAAATTAACCCTCAAAGCCCATCACTAGAGCTAGGGGTGCTATCTAATAATGGAAGGAAGGGGAGCTTCTCCCGGAAAGGAAAGTCTGAAGTCTGCTAGAAGAAGGGAAGAATGGAGGCTTTGTAGGCAACCAATGAATTTACTTTACCACCTTCGTATCCACTTGACTGACAGTATCTCAGACATCGGTCCCCCTTCCCTTTAATAATAACACTTATCACCACAGAGAGTATGTGGCTACCTCCCCCATTAGACCTTAGTCTCCTTAGCGAAGGCCCCTTGACCCTCAGTCCGAAGTGGCATCTCACCCTCAGGAGGAGAATGACCCCAACTGAATGAACACACTAGCTCTGCAGAGAGGACTGGGGGACACTGTGCAGGTCATGTAGCTCCTCTGAACCTCCCTTTCAACCAAACAGGCAGGTTAATAACATTGACCTCATAGGATTATCCAAAAGGTGTATTATAAAGTGTAAAGGGATGAAAGTGTTATCTTTCCATTGTTCATGGATTCTAGGATGCATGTTTCCAAATGTAGACATCTCTGACACTGAAATCTGTCCTAAAATCTGTGTGTAAGTATGCATCATAGTTTAATTGGCAGTGGCTTTTTTCTGTCTTAGTAGTAGATAAAGCAGTAGGGCAACTTATGATCGAAGGTGTCTGATACAAAACGTACTACAGATATCCATGCAGTATCCTGCCTCTGACAAATGCCTCCAAACCACGGAAGTACTGTTGCTCGTCAATCTTAAAAGATTCCCTCTACAGGCCTCACAGCATCCTGGATGCCTTTAATAACCTTCTTATCCATCTTACATGGATAAAAATGTAAAACTTACATTGTAAGTGTATCAAACCTTTTTAGAAATTATTTGTATCTTGAGTCCCATACACACTAGTTATAGAATTTAGTTCTTAATCTTACTTGTCTTTACTTTCCATTACCACCTTCCTCCAGCCCCATCACAAGCTTTAAGTAATGGGAAGAACCTCGTAGGGTTTTGGAAAGAATAATTTCAGTTTTAATTCTGTTTTGTGACAAATTAGCTACATGTCTAATCTCACTGTCACCTGCAAAATGAGCATGCTAATATTTTCCTTATAGTTATGCAGGATAGAATGAGATCATGTATGTGGACGTCCTTTAAATTTACTGTGCTCTGAAATCTGATGAACAGGTAGGCCTCCATTTCACTCTGCAATTTTACCGATCTTGGACAGCTTCCAAAGACAACACTTCAGAAGAAAGAGTGTCTTTTAGGGTACATTTGATTACTTCCTATATTCATCCACATGGTCACTAGGATGATTTCTGTTCTCCAAACATATACAAGGCATGGAAAACAAAGCGACTGATTGTTATATTCGACTGCATCCCGTTTCCAGGAAGGATGTGAACTCCATTTTTTTGAAATGTCAGGGTCCCCTGACTTTGCCCGTTCCTGCAGAAACTGCTTCCTTTGCTAGGGCCTGCTGGAAGAGGTTTATCTTGATGTTTTTAAGAGAGTACAAGCTTTAACTTGAGATTGTGAGTTTCTTTTAATGTTACTTACCAGACACAAGCGCCTTTTTATGTTTCCCATTAAAGTAGCAATCATTTATTTGTGGTTTTCTTCCTCTGTTTTTTTTTTTTTTTAACTTTGTGGTTTCCCCTATTTTACACACTATTAAAACTGCTCTTGTCTTCTACTTGGATTTAGGCTTCTATTATAGAGAGGAGTGGATTGGACATGAATAGATACTCTGCTCCCACTTCAGACCCAATTTACACTTGTTTCTGTACGTATCCTACTGCAGTCTGAAAAGGTTTAATGGTCTATGTTTGAGATGAGGGTCAGAGATTATAGAATCAGAACTGGACCCCAGTTCTAATTCCAAAGATCAAATCTCCTGAGCATACCCCCTAACTTCATGTTTTCAATTTTTGGTTTGAATTTTGTCTGGCTTTAAGAAAAGGGTGGGTACAACAGTGGTATTTGAACAGGCGTTATACTTTTAATTCTCTTAAACTAGCCCTCATCTTCTCTCTGCTGTCACTGCATTTCATGTTTGAGACCTGAAAATGAGCTTGTCAGTAGATCATTTTCCTTTATATCTTTCTGGAACGATTCCAGATTCTTGTGGCATTACAGGATAAAATATCTGCCTAAAGACATTCTATAAAGCAGATAGCCTCAGAGAAGGTGTGGGGGATAAATTACACAAATGAGTACAAAATTGCTCATAAAACCCATAACATGAGAAAAGGCAGAGGGTATAATTTTCTGGCAAAGTTATTTAATTCCAGATACCAAGAACTAAAAATATTAAAAAAAGAAGTATGCATTATTTATTTAAACTGCAAAAGTAAAACAGACCTAAAGAGGAAAACAAAATAAATCTCCAGTGCTAAGAATGTATTTGTATAAGCCTACAAAGAAAGAATTTTTCCGAGTTTAGAGGGTTTTTTCCTTGGACAATAAAATAAGATTACATTCTACACGTATCAAACTTTTTATCTGTGGTTAGAGTTTATAAGGTACAATTCTTTCATTTTATAGTGTGTTTTTAATGCTTGATTACTATATTGTTTTATTATTTTTGTAGTAAAGATTTTTATTTTTACTTTTCTCTCTGAAGAAGAAAGAAAATTCTTCTGTGAGAAGTCCTTGTTCAGCAAAAAAGAAACAGTCTCTGAAATTAATTTGATGTCTTAGGTTCACACATGCGAACAACGTTATTTTCCTGGTTTCTCAACAAAAAAATACATTAACTGATTTAAGAACACACAATAAAATGAAACTTCCAGGATAAGTATTGGTGAACAAGAAAAAAAAAGTGATGTACAAAATGTAACACATGGGGGGAGGGGTATTTAAAAAGTTAGGCACGTACTTACTAAAATGGAGTTTATTTCTAAAATACCAATAAGCAGGGCTTCTTTCCAGAAATCGGCAGAGCACAGTTTATATCTTATTTATTCTTTCCTTGATATTCATTAATTGCCTCTAAAGTGGAACAAGCGGCATTTTTATAATGGAAAAAAAAAACATTATAAATATGCGAGGAGAGAAGGGTGTTACTTTGGTCTTATCTGCCCACTTCTTGGTGGCCCGCGGGGACTCAGAGGGTTGGCGGCTAGAAAAAATACAGAACGGAGTTTACCGACTGGAAGGCACGGTGGCCCGCCTGCAAGGTGCTGTTGACACCCGTTAGTTAGAAGCACAGAGAGCGCTCGTGGTCCCATAACTTTAGAGGGAAAAGGCCGGCTGGCCAACATGTCCCCAGAGGTTAGGAAGCACCTCAAGGAGCCAGGGAATGTGGCCGCCCGGTCCTGGCTCCAGGCTCTTCCCACCGTCGCCCGGAACACCTGCTTTTCCGCTCCCGCTCGGCGCCCGAGGTCCCCAGGCTGGGGCGGGGGCGCGCGGGGCGGGGCGGCGGTCCCCACCTGGGCCGGGGCGGCCCCGCCGCGCGCCCCGGCCGTCGGGCGCACCGCCAGGGCCGGGGAGGGGCCGCGAGAGGGCGGGGGCCGGGCCGGGCTGCGCCTCGCCGGCCGCTCGGGCAGCTCCGGGGGCCGCGGATCTCCGAGAAGAACACTTGCCCCGGGGATCTGTCGCTTCGCGAGCGCCATCGGAGCGCTGGCCATGAGAGCTCTATGGATGGCGCTGTGTGCCCTGGCGCGCCTGTGGCCCGGGGCCCTGGCCGGCTGCTCCGAGGCCGGGCGCTGCTGTCCGGGCCGGGACCCTTCCTGCTTTGCCCGCGGCTGGAGGCTGGACAGGGTCTACGGCACGTGCTTCTGTGACCAAGCCTGTCGCCTCACCGGGGACTGCTGCTTCGACTACGACAGGGCGTGCCCAGGTGGGTGGCCAGGCTGAGGGTGGGGCAGAGGCCGTGCGCTGTGCCAAGGACCACAGCCCCAGAGCCAGGCGTCCCCCAGCTCCTTCCATCCAGGCTTGTCTAGCCCCTGTATCCCCGCCCATCCCAGGCACCGCCATCCAGGTACACCCAGCTCCATTCATCACAGGGTCTTCCTGTCTCCTCGACCCAGCCGACCCCTAAACTTTGCATTCAGGGGTTTCCCAACCGCTACCATCAGGAGGTCTCCCAGCCCCCTCCATTGAGAACCTGGAGGGGCTGGAGGCTTCTGTCCTCCTGGAGGGATGTGGAGCTAACCCTGTGGATGAATTCTTCAACTCAGGAACTCTGGTTGGGTGGGGCCAGCTCCGGTCTGCAGAGATGACACGGAGAGGTCCCGGGGCCAGTGGCCCAGCCCACAACTTTCTTTCTGTTAACCCTCAGGCATTTGGGGGTCTGGTGAGGGGTGAAGAGGGCAAGTGTGTGCCAAGGGTTTGCTCTGGGAGGGCACTGTGTTCTGGAGAGCAAGTTCTTGGAGGACCTCTGGACCCCAACAAATAGTACAGCCCCTTCTTTATATGAGGTGTGCTATATATTCTTGGAATTCAGTTTTATCTGTAAAGCATAAGAATTTTTATCTCAAAATTATGTTTTAATCTTGCTCATTTTTCTTTAGTATCAGTCTTTTTCACTTTTAAATTTCCCACCACATCTCATAGTTTCCTGCCCTTGTAAAGGGCTAATAAATGTTGTTTTAATTGAATTAAAGGATAAAGAAAGAAACGGTGAGTATAGTCCTGAAGAACAAGGCATGCCTGAGAGAAGCCAGCTCTGGAAATCAAGGGGCCCTGCTCCCTGTTAGTCCCACCTGCCCCCAAAGTCACACATATGCTAGGGTTGGCACTGACGGATCGGGCACACAGAATCCTCAGCATCTTCAGGGCAAAGTCATTCCCTGGGGCACCTAAAACTCATGGGAGAAGCACCCAGCCTGTCTCTTCACTGATGAAACAGGCCCCAAGCCCACTGTGGGCCAGTAACATGGGCCAGATGCTGAAAGAACACAGTTGAAAAGTGTTAGAGATTTTTTGACCCTGGTTAATAGCTAAGGATTTTCCTATGAATATTGATATACTTTTTGATAAGCTTCTTTCCTTTTTCTGTTCCATGGCCTGGATATTTTAGTACTAAGGTAAGATGGAACAGTCAGCTCTTCAGGAAAGGCAGTGTCCTGGAACCGGACGTCCCCAGCCCCTCTGCACAGCCTCCTAAACTGGTGGCTTCATTAACCAGGAGAACTCAGGCAAAGCTTCTCTCACTGTGGCAGAATTGCCCTCCCATGAGGGCCTTGCTTTCATATTACAGGAAATCACAGGTTTCACGTGACCCAGATAATGTGCCCAGCTCTGTGGCAAGCACAGGGATAGTCAGATGCAGTCTCTGGTCTCTCGGAGTTCCTAGTTTAGCTGGCAGCACGGGAAACACTGTGTGTAACCTGCTTCATACCACAACAGGAGCTCCAGCATGGATCACACTTCAGAGACCCCAGAGATTCAAAGAAGACTTTCCAGAGGAAGGAACAGGCTTGCCTGGACCTGGGGAATGAGGAATAGGACTTCTAGGAGGAGGGAGAGGTGGGCTCTCAGCGGGAGGCCTGACGTGAGGTCCAGCAGTCACTGTGGACGTCAGCCTGCTCATGCCAGGCCCTGTGCCAGGCCCTGAGGCTAAAATGGTGAACAGTTCAGATGGTACAGGGGCCAGGTCTGGAGAGGCAGGCACATAAGAGGGGTGAGCAAAGACAGAGCATGTTGTGAGAATAACTTTCTTTCTAGTGAGGTCTAACAGTGCTAACAAGGGGTTGCCAAACCCTCGAAATCTTTATTTGGTCAAAAAGAAAGCCCTTCTTTTCAGTCTGGGAGGTGGGAATAGTGGAGATGTGGAGAGCAAGCCCAGAAGAGAAGCAATGGCCTTCCCAAGTCACGAAGAAATCATGAATAGAATTTTAAAAGGAGCATATGCCCTTCCCCAGAATCAACAGAGACTTTGCAGGCCTAGATGGAAGCAGGCGTGGGATCGCAGTGCTCCTTCTTGGTAAATTCTCGTGCCTGGAGTTTCTTGTGAAGGGAAGAAGAGAATAGGAACAATTGGCATTTGGCTGCTGGTAAGGCCGAGCTTGCTCATCAGTCAGGGCTGAGGATGACAGCAAAGGGACCAGCCTGCTCAGCCCTGGATGAGCGCCCCAGCCATGCCCCCTGACACTCATGGGGCCACCTGCCAAACTCAGAACTGACTGGGCTACTAGGAGCTGGTCAGGGGAAACACCCAGAATGCAGCCTTTTTCACAGAGTCTACCCTCCAAATACTTGCTTTTATTTGTGAATTTTTTCCTAGAAGTAACCTGAATGCCTCAATTTTCCCCTAAAGGTGGAACACTGCATTCAGACTTTACCTTGCCGACTACTGGCTTTCTGAAGTTGGAGGATGTGTGTATGTCAACTTCGTGGGCCTAAAGCCAGCGTCCAATTATAAAAGCACAGTGATAAAACCACACCAAAGTGCATGAAAAGTGCAACTGAGTCAGTATGACTAAGCAGGCTTTACTTCTGTTCCTTCTGATCGTTTCATCTTGATAAATGAGTTTGGTTTGGGGCATGGCTTAAAGATGAGATGGCATTGCTTTTTCTAAGCAGAAAGTTTGTTTTTGTTTTTTAGTCATGTAAAAATAAAAATGTTATTTCATCTGTAGAATTATTAGACTACCAAAGAAATTTGTCCTAAAATGAATTATCTTAGAAAATCTCCTTATGATGATTGCATGGATTTCAACACCAATGATGTGTCACAGTTCACTCCCCACCTCCAGGAAGAAAAGGATAAAAAATTCTCCACTGGCTCTGACTGGCCAGTATTGGGAAAAAATAGAGTGGGGGGGGGGGAGGGATGGATCCAAGCTACCTGGAAGAACTTCTTGGGAACCTTGATTATCATCCCAAGCTCTAATTTACCACCTGGGATTCCTAGAGTTTGCATTCTAATGCAAATAGTAGGTTACATTGAATCAGAGATGAGCAATTTAAGGAAAGGGTAAAAACCCAAGTGGAGCAGGAGAAATATTGAGTAGCCTATGGAGGCCTGTGTCATCCCCTAGATTTATGGGGAGTCTAGGAAACTAATTAAAACTGATGACATTGTATCTGGAGAGAAAAAAATCACCATGCTTGAAACTATGGGCTCCAAAACTTACCCCAAAGAAGATGTTACTGTCTATGAAGATTTAGAAAATTGGCCGGATGCAGTGGCTCATGCCTGTAATCCTAGCACTTTGGGAGGCCAAGGCAGGTGGATTGCGTGAGCTCAGAAGTTTGAGACCAGTGCGAGCAAGATGGAGACCCTATCTCTACTAAAAAAAAAGAAAAACTAGCCAGGTGTTGTGGTGGGCACCTGCAGTCCCAGCTACTTAGGAAGCTGAGGCAAGAGGATCGCTTGAGCCCAGGAGTTTAAGGCTGCTGTGAGCTATGATGACCCCATAACAGTGAATCCAGGGTGACAGAGTGAGACTCTGTCTCAAAAACAAAAACAAAAAAAATTAGAAATTCAAGGCCTTACAGGAGCCACAACAGTCTCAGAGGGCATCAGATGGCTTCCCTGCCTTTGCCTTTGCAGAAAAAATGAGCAGGGCCTGGAGCCAGTATTCCAAATGACTTGACTTAGCAGAATTTGGCTGCAACTCTCAGTGGGCGGTGAAGGAGGGTGAAGTTGTTAACGCTTACCCAGCACTTATTCCCTGCCAGGCACTGTCCCAAGCACTTCATAGCTATTAACTTCCATGGATCTCCCGGCCCACTTAAGTTAACCCTCATTTTGGTCTCATTTTACAGACGAGGTAAGCGGCACAGTGAGATTAGGTAACTTGTTCAAAGTCACACAACTAGTAAGTGATGGATTGAGACTTGAACCCGAGTAATCTGGATTCAGAGTCCACACTTGTAAACAAGATGCTTTTTTTGCCTCTGAAAAATGAGGGTTTATGAGAGGCTGTGTACTTTGCATGGTAGGTCCCAAATAAACACTGAGGAAGCCTTCTATGCTTCTGGGCTCCTCAAGGGCAGGTGGGCCCTGTTCCCTTTGTAACCCCATAAAGGCTAGCACGTTACCATTTAATAATGTTTGTCAAAAGAATACGATCAGTCATTCCACCTAGAAGATGTTATCGCTGGCTACAGAGGTCACTGCCTTCTGGGGTGTGTCCACTTTCCATTTGAAAAAATTTCCTTCCTTATCTACAAAGTATACATTTGTTGCAGAAAATTTGGAACAGAAACACACAAGCAGAAAACAACTCCCCTGGAAACTTGTTATCCAGAAAAAAAGCATCATTATCTTTTTCATTCATTATCTTTTTTTCTGGGTTTACATGATGTGTAAAATTCTATTTATTTCTTTGTCTTGCTAACATTTTAGGAACTAGTCCAGATAACATCTTGAAAGGAAAAAAAAAAAAAAACTGGGGCGAGGTAACATGGTTTCTGCAAGAGAAAAAAAAATTACTCTATCATTTCATTTGAACTTTCTGAGGAGGTAGATAGGCGATTGGGCAACATCGTCACTTTTGACTTTCAGGGAACCTTTGAAATGGTTCCGCAGAAAAGGATGTACAAATGGAGAGAGAGAGAGAGAAAAAGAGAGAGAGGACATATACTTAAAATCGTGTCACCCTGAGATACGTGTGTGTGTGTGTGTGTGTGTGTGTTGGGGGGTTTATTTTTCTTCCATAGAATGTCAAGAAACAACAGCTATGCATAGATGGATACTGCTGTGGGTCAGGTGTAAGAAGAACATTTCCAGAGGAATGATGAGGTTGAATTTAGCAATGTGAGGGAGAAAGCACTTGCTTGTGGGTGGCCTTAAACTTTTAGGTGGCAAAAAGCCAAGCAGTCAGGGCTAGATTACAAAGGAGAGTGCTAGAGTCTCTGTGATTAACCAAGGAGACATTGCTACATGAA